GCTAATTGTCACTCTCTTCACATAGAAAAGTAATTTTTGGGTTTGAGCTGCTGAGCAATGACAACCATTCTCTTAAACATGTCTTGGGGCACCCTGGAGAAGAAGTGAATTACAGATGTGATTTATAGTGACATCTCTGCAATAGTTTGCTGTTTTCCAACAAAGAAAGGAACTTGTATGAAGAATGCACACGTCAGTCATGACCATGCACCAGCACACATGAGTCTTTCAGGGTGCTTGGCTCATGTATAGCTCACGTACCTTGGCAGAGGTTACCACCTGAAAATACCAGGGATGGTGCATGATGCAAATTTAGTAAGGCACACTGCACACAGCTGAAGTTCAGATAGGCAGAGCAACACACATGGCAAAACAGTCAGGAGAACAAAACAGACATTCATTCCCCTGCTCACCCAGAGCTATGGGTGCACCACATCAGGTCAGGGGTCACATCCAACTTTGAGCCATACCAAGGACAGCATAATTACAAGGAACTGATCTAATTTCACTAGTAAGTTCACTAAGACTGTCTCAGAGCAAAGCACTCATGTTCTGTATACCCTTAAAAAACCTGGAGATAATGAATAGGTTTCTTCACTAAATCTCTGCAGAGTCTGAATGCCCATTATTAGGTTCACTGGCTAATGAGAGCTGATACACTGAAAGCCATCAGAGTTCTCCCACAAGGGAATTAAAACCTGAAAAATAAACGCACTGAATGACTGGATGTAAAAATCACTCTCCATTCTCCCACAGCTGGGGTGACTATGTTTTCGTATAAGGAATGAGTCAGGATTAAAAGGAGAGCAGGGACAGGTGACACTGTAGTAGACCCATAAGCTCTCAGTCAGTTCCTCATCCACCCCCAGGTAAAGCTCCATGCACTCCAGATGGTCACTGACATAGAGAGACACAGCCTCTCCTTGTCTTCCCTGCCTGTCCTTCCTGAAGAGCATGTATCCTTCCATTCCATCACTCCAGTCACAGGAGCCATCCCACCTTGTCTCCATGATGCCAATAAGTTCATATCCCTGCAGGCATGTGTATTTCTCATATTATTTTATGAAGAAACACAAATGCTGTATTCTGTACACCAGAACACAAAACAGAGGAAAAAACAAATTCTAATAACCGTGTGACTACTCTTTATTTCCCCAAACTAGGCATAAACTGAGATGTTCTTCCCATTTAATGTCACTCAGCTGAGTAGTCTTGAAATGAGAGTTGTAAAATAGAGTAGTTGTTTGGGCTAACAAGGTGTATGAATATAAACACACTTTGATTACAGTAAGTGTGTTTGGCATGTCTGTAAAATATGTGGACAGAGATGACTAAAAAAAAATAAAAGCCAACAGCAGAGAGAAAGAATCCCAGGTCTGAACTCCTTCTCAACCCTTTTAAGAGAAATTTTGTGTGAGATGCCTGGGACTAAGCTAAAATCCATTATACCAACCTTCCCACCTTCTCGGAATCTGCAGAAAGTATTGCTAGATGTGGACACAGTTACTCATATCAGCAGAGAAGGGATTGCCCTGGGAACACAGCACGTTTATTCCTTGTCACTGGACTTGGCAAGTTATTTTTGATCAGACAAAACAAGGGGGAAAAAGCACAGAGGAGGGTTTGGGCACATATAAATGTGTAAACTCAGACTCATAAAATTTTATACTATTTAGTGAAGACATATTTTCCCTCTGAAGGACTCTCTACTACTAGGAAAATGTGTGTAGAGGCAGGGTCATGCTCTCCATGTCACCTGTGAATAATAAATCTCTTCCCTATTTAGAAAGCCACTCCAAGGGACAACCTCATAGCAAGAGTATTTCTCAGAGGAAGCAGAAGGAAATAAACCTGGACTGTCATTTTTAGATCAGTTTCTAATGAGTGTGTCAGAGCTTAAAAGGATTGTACAACTTCTTGCTGGCTCAAGTGCAAAAGGAAAGAAGAGGAACAAGGTATACCTTTCTCCTTCCTGGGGACATCGAAGTAGATGAACACTTCCACATTACCTTCAGAAGATACCTGAGTAATGGATTCATCCCTCAAAAAGTCACTATATCCAGGACTTCTGCATGCAACAATTAAACCTCCTACACTGACTCAGAAGCCTGAACAGGCTTGGAACAGTGTCAGGAAGTCACGTCTTTGGAGGCCTTCAAGGTATTTGCATTTTCATCATCGTGTTATCATAAAGTCCCATCCTGAGGTTTGGGTCTGCATCTGAAGTAAAAAGCAGAGATTGTTGTTCTTGATACTCTTCTCACAGCCCTCCTACAACTGCTTATTTCCCCCTGGGCTGCCCATTCCTCTCTGCCCTGAGTCATCACAGCTTCTCCAGCCCATCACCAGTATTGCAGCACCAATTTGCCAAGTAGGATATTTCAGGCAAAGACTGTTTCTTATAAAGTGAAGAGCTCTGAATACCTAACATGCATATCCATCAGACAATTTTTGGCCAAGTCTGAAATGCTGCTGCCAACTTCCAGCTGTTGCGTTTTGACTTATTTTGACCCACCATATATCCATCCCTACCATTGACAATTAATACAAGATGGACTGGTGCCAGGCCTTCAGTGTTGTGTTGTCTTTTTGTACAGTGAAGCTAATTGTTTAAAGTGTTCACTAGCCACACTTGACTACACCAAATTCTGGGGGAGTTTCAGGTTCTCCTTATAGTAAGGTTAATGGTGTGAAAACTGTGAGAGTATTTTCCAGCATTTTTATGCAGGTTCTACATGGGTTTAATTTCCCATGATTTTTTTAGATTAATGCTTGGAGGGAGAAGGTATTGTTCACTGTTTTTCTGACATCAGCAAGGTCTTGCCTTAGGCTGGGAGAATATGGGGAAATGGGGAATATTTGCACCTCGTTGTCTGACCTGGAGCTGTTTGTCCTCCCAGTATGAAGGGAGCCATAACCAACACAGGGAAACTTTTGGCTGAGATGATAGGAAGCTTCCTTTTATCTTTACCAGCAGTAACCACTTTCAAAAGCTTCCCCCAATTACAACCTGCTTAGAGAGGCAATAGGTAAGGGGATAAGCAAATCTACAAAATTGTCCCTATTCTCCTGTTGCCCTAAACACCTTCCACTTACATTATTTTGCCTGGTTACTTACTCTTTCAGTATCCAAAAGACCAACAAAGCTGGATTGTTTGTGGAAAGTTCTCTTGCTATGTTATATATTGGCTTTGGTTGCCAATATTTTGGTAAGGATAAATCTCAAGCCGCAGCAGATTTCAGTCTCTATGTTAAACATTAAAGCTATGCCTTTTAGGCTAAAACTTAAGAGTCAAAGAAGATTAGGCCCCTATCAGTGTGTAGATACAGCCACAAATAAATTCAAACATTAACTGAGAAAGCCATGTAAAGGTAGAAATTGTGACCTGTTTAAAATAAACTGGATTTTTGTCATTTGTCATACATTTGTACTCAAGAAATGGATGGAGATCTCTTAGGAAAAAAATATATCAGAAATACTGGGCTTGGAGTCTTAATGATTTTGAAAGAATATAATCTAAACATCAATAAAACCAATGGAAAGACTCCCAGAGAATCTCAAAGGGCTACAAGTCAGGCCTGTGAAACAGCTAATCCAATGAGACTACTAAAAGTGATTTTACAACATCGAAATCCAAAATCAAAATCAAGGAAAAAGTTTTAGAAGTTTCTTCTTAAGTAACCTACGTGTCCCTCAAGGAATCTAGTGGTATAACTCCTCAAGGGATGTAGTTATGCCAAATGAACATTTGAAACTCCTTGGCTGTACTGCAAAATATTTTTAATGGCTTTGTTTATGATTTGAGATGAAATATTCCTCACAGTGATTTGCATGGAATGTTTACAGCCTTGTGTATTACACTGTTATCAGATAATTCACAATATCCTCACTTAAACAAACAAACACAAAATAATCAAACTTGACAAGTTGAAGAAAAGAAGTGCTGGCAGCTATGGAAAACACTGAACAGTCAGTGGGGATACAATAATTTCCAAATAAAATGCCATGAACATCAGACTATAGCATATGATTTAATAGCAAATTCTTCATATTGTGCATTAAGCTGGCAATATGCATTGTCAGACAATAAACAATGTTCACACCTACTACAAGTAGCACAAAGGACCCACGTGGTAGCAACAGTGCATTTCCCAAAGAGACTAAACATTAGAAAAATGTGTTTGAGCAATGTGAGTGATTGAATTCTTTCACTGCTGCTACCTTCTGTTTTCTATTTATGTTACTATTGCTGGTGAGCTGACCTTCTGAAACATACATCTCATTTTCAGAGTGGGTTGGCAGAGCAAATGCTGCTGCACTTTATTCCAGCAGCTAAGGACTGTTCTCTGAAACACCAGGCAGCAACCCAAAATACAAACCTTCAGGCCTGTTTGCACTGCACAGACCACTCCTGTATCAATTTTGCATGCGTGTACATCCAGAAATCTGATGTAAAAAACAATTTGCAAGCTTATATTTTAGCATTTTTTAAACCCCTCTCATGTACACGGCAGATATGAGTGCAATATTCTGAAGTCAGGGTTGACTGCTTTAAAATCCCCATGAGCAGGCATGCCTGGTTTAGCAGCCTAATTTCTCTCAGACTTTTTCCAACCACCTACACTGAGGGTACATGATGTCCTCATCCTCTGCGCGTGCACGCGGGTGTGTTACTGGTGTGTGAACCAGAGCAGCTGCGGGCAGAGCAGCTGCAAAGACACATGCTCTCTGCTTGGGGAATGGGGCACTTGGGGGGGGGGGGTGGGGGGGGAACGACGACGGCAGACTAATGTGGTTTGTACATAGCTGGAGGACTTCCGTCTTGGAACTGTGGGATTCAGGACACATTAACCCCCCTCCAAGAAAGTGTATTGAAAAGGGAAAAAAAAAAAAAAAAGCAGTCAGGCTGATGGCTTTTCCTGCAAAGTTTAGTACTTCAAAAGTTAACTTCTAAGCAACATCAGATACATGGACAAAACCTATCATGGACACTATACAGCAACCCTTCCCATCAGCATCTCCAACTTGTTGCTTACCCCGGTTGGATTTCCTTGTTGGCCATTAGCAGTGAGTCAGCTCCATTAGGTAAGGTTTTTGTACTTTTTAATTATCTGATAGTTATTTGGGAGATAGAGTTCATGTGTATTTTAAACTGAGATGATCTTGTTTACATTAACTTCTGAATGTGGGTTAGAGGGATAGAGGGCTATTATTAGAAAATATCTCCAATACAGAATGGAAGTAATGTTAAAATAAACAGCTAAGGTAATGAAGAAGGTCACAGTGATAACCAAGCAGGCTTACAGCACACAGTGATTATTGTCCATTAGTGGATTTTTTTCCTTTTTTTTTTTTTTTTAATAAAGAAATTACTCATAACATTTTCCCCAAAATGGGATATACAAAATGAAGCATAAAAGCAGAAAAAACTTTAAGAATCTATTCCTCTAGGGAAATAAGTATATGCATGGTATATCGCAGCGATATTATAGATTAGTTAATTACACATATAATAATACACAGCTATACAGTCTCTGGCAATAAAAAGTTCATGAATAATTTTTCTACTACTGTACACATTAAATGTAAGGCTTATTTTAGTCTAGCGTAGAGTTCGAAGAGGACATAAATTTTACATATGCAGCTTGTTTATACAGCTTTATTAATCTACTGCAGGAATACATCGAAAATCATTAGTAAACTGGTAAAATAGTAGACATTATTCAACTAGTAAAACCAGACTTAATAAATAACAAAAAAGAAAACATGAGAAAAGCGGTGGGACCAGTGAATAATGTTGTGAGTGATTATGGATACAGCTCTGGCAAAGTCTGTGGAGGCACTCCCCCTTTAATGGCAATACATTGCAATATTTTACAAAATTTAATTCCAGTGGAGTTTCTTAGAGTCTTAAAAGTGGTTGTAAGCCAGCACTTGTTAGCTCTATGAAGATAAAACAATTTAAAAAGCTCTTCACTTCAATATCAAAGGGTCACCTAGGAGGTTTTGCAGAACTAAACACAAAGCAAATGACCTATCGCCTTTATCCTCAAACAATACCTTTAATTTCCGAAACCCTTTGAAGGGTTGCCAGTTTTAGGGAGTGTAGCAGCTACTTATCTGATAGAACAAGCTTTTCATCAAGGGGAAATGACCTTTTAGCTCCTAGTAGCTAAGTAACTGTATTTTCCACTGTATTTTTGTTCCTGAATGTACTATGGATAGACATTCTTATTAAGATGGGAACACAGAACAAGAATTAAGAAATAGCTTGCTGTCTCTTAGGTGATGCAAAAGGATTCATAAGGCTGGGGTTTTGTTTGGGATTTTTGTGTTTTTTTTTTTATAATGTGAACTTCAAGTAAATGAAACCGCTTAAATTCTGACAGATTGTGTTGTGACATTATAAAGTTATGAACAGAGCCATATGCTGTTTACTTTTGTACTCTTAACAAACCTACTAATCCCATAAGAATTTAACCATGAATAACGAATGCCTGGCCAAACAGCTTTTTGCAGATGCCTTATTAAGAAGGAGAAGATGAGAAAATCCTTTAAAGACCAAGGAAGAACTTTATAATCTTCTGTAGTCTTGTTTTAGGGAATGAAGCTCCCAATGACAGAGGGTATTCTCATTATTTGGGGGTTTTACATTATTTCCTGTGACTAAGAAACATGAAAGTGTTACCAGTAATGTCTGTAGCTGCTGTCTCGTAGAAGATAAAGTAAAGCATCAGGGACAAAAGCAGCTCAGTGAATCATAGATGTGGGAGGGCTGAAACAACACAGAGCTTGTCAGACTTTTCTCAGAAGAATTTCTGTAAACGAGTCAATCAAAAGAAAAAGACAATAGTTTTTAACAGAGGCATTTTAGACAAAAGTATTTATCTTAAAAAAAAAGATAGTTGCTTGAAACATCACCTTCAAGATGGAATTGCTCCCAATCTCCTCTGGAGCCTTTGCATACCATTGAAAAACCTTTTCACTGGGATATGAGCTTCCTGCAAAGGCACCAGCCTCCCTTGGGGGCTCCTGAAATCCACTGGAGCGTCACTGCAAGGTGTTACATATATAGTAAAATGAGGTATAATTAATTGTTTGCACATTCACTCCACTGGATTTTCCTCAGATCTGAAACACATAAAAAATTTGAGCATATCCTGAGGTGGAGAAGATGGTGTGAGGGGAAGACTAGGGGCCTACAGCCAGCAGGAAAAGACAGTTCATTCTCAAACAATCCAAATGGTCTAATTTGATTTAAAAAAGTAAATGAGAATAGTCTAGCATGGCAAAAATTATTCAATGTATCTTGCAATTTTATAAATCCTGGTTTTCCTTTCACTATGTATTCTCTTTTGTCTGCTTGTGCTACCCACAAGCAACCCATGATCTCAATTGGATCTTCTGCTGAAAAATCTGAATGCCTTAGAATGTCCATGCCTTAAGCAAAAATCTGCTGGAGCTGAGAAAACATTTCCCCATGAGTATTTCAAAAAGACTAATTGAGGACCTTTCCCACTTCCCTGCTTCATGTCTCTACAACTGACAGCAAGCTCTCCCTTTGTCAGACTTCAGACATGACACTCATGTCCCCAGGAACCCCCTGGCACCCCAGGACACCTGTCACCCTCTGGGTCCACAAGCACAGGAGGTGTGCAGACGCCCACAGTGTGAAGCTCCAGGGCATCTGGTCTGGAAACAGCTTGCAGGGATCAGACTCTTGGGCTTGGGCTGGGTCACAGAGATTCCTGTGTCTTTAGAAATCACACTGGGTTTATGCTGGCTCCTCATCTTTGTTCTGTGGAAAGCACAACAGGTGTTTATAGCAGTGTGCAAACAAACAGTACCATGCTGAATGCTTTCCTATGGAAGTAAAACCAACACTCCCTGGCTATGGCAAGTAAGCAGTAACAGTTCCCAAAGGGAGAGGCACAACTTTTACAACATGTTTCTCTCCCAGTATTGTCTTTAATTATCAAAAGCTGTTTACAGGTTAATATTTTATTTCCTGCTTATTTACATTTTTGTCAAAATCAAGTAACTCCATTGGCCCCATTGTCTGGAATTAAACCAGTTTGTATTGTTTGAATAACAAGTGAAGTCTGATTTCATCTGATTTTGTGCTGTCAAAGCAAAGCTAATAGCTGGGTTGTACAGTTATTTCTACAGTTTCTGATAACTTTTTTGTTCCACTCCTTTTTATCTTAAAGGCAACAGGATTATGAACTGCAATGATAGTTCTTTCATAACTAAGGCAGAAGTGGGCAGCTGTTGCAGCCTGCAGGTGAGAGAACTGGGTATGTTTGTGACTTTCCTGAGCAGTATCAGTATGTCAGTACTGGATTTTTGGACTTTGAAGTTTAGTAGGGAAATAATTTTAGCATTTGCCTTTAAATCTTCTGATGAAAATTAATTTTTGTTTTCAAAGTTATACAGCTTATAAAATGTGTTTGGCGTGAGAGAGCTGCCTTTCTACTGCATCTCTCAAGGATCTGTCTATTTCCAATGACCTGCCCAGTGTGTACACTATTGTCCTTTTTAAACTTCTTAACAGCTATTTATTACTCTGTGCTGTACTCAAATTGAGGATCCTTTTCTTAGACACTGTTCATAACAGTATATAAAGGATATTCATGGCCAAAATATTTGCTTTAAAGGTCCAGTTCTTCAAAGTTATTTTGTCTCCAAATGCCAAATCCGAAGAAGTATTCTATACATCTAACCTCCTTTGCAATCGATAGGAGCTGCAAGTAGTCAACACAAATCAGTGTTTGCTCCTAAATTGACAAGACAAATTGCTGAAGAGAGGAAGCATCATCATTCTGTTTTACTGATGGGACGGAGTCGTGAAGTGGCTCAAGGTCATGCAGAAAATGTTTTGATGGAGCTGAGATCTGTACCGAGACCTCATGGCTCACAATCCAGACCCAGTAACTACAGTGCAACTCATAACTGGAACAAAAGCCAATATAGTAAATAGGAGTGTAATAAAAATGCTGAGTCTTTCTCCATCTTCCCTGTAAACTCTGAAGTCAAATGAATACACACACAGACACACGTGGATACAAGGTATTGCTGGTGGGATTTAGACTACTTGTATTTTAGTTGAGCAATACTTGAAATCTCACACTTTGGTTTCAATCAGGTAAGGATCCATTCACTTCCAAAATGTTACACCTTCTTTATCATAAAAATGTAGGTGAAGAGAAGAAGGAAAAGTCTATCCTGCACTAACCTCACTAAGGACAGAATTTTGTTTCTGTTAGCTACTTCTTCCTAGACCACTTCTGTACCCTAATAAAATGTTTGTGGCTTTGGAAATGGCTCTTTCATGACAATATATTCCTCCCCCCCTTCTTTTTTTTTTTTTTCTGTGACATAGGCTTGCTGCTTCAAAAGGCTGAGAATACTGTGAGAAGTACCATTTTGTTAAGTTTTCACTGATTTATACTGTACCTCTTTGAAAAGTTGGGAAAATTTCTCAAGGCAGCCAGATTATTGGTTTGTCTGATTTTATCTACAAATCTGTTTCCTTGGACGGTTGCAGGTTTGTTCTGACTTTTTGACTACTTTCTTCCTGGATGAGGCAATCTTCTTGTCCTCTCACAGATGGAGGTTTAGCGTTGTACATTGCTGATGCCCAATCCACAACAAGAATGGATATTGTCTTTAATGCTTGGTTGGCAGGATATACTGCTCATTTCATGATTTTTAAGTTTTCTTCAAAGTAATGTACTTTTCCTTCAGTTATGACATTTATTAATTTCATTGTGGCATCTACACTATGTGTTTTGACCTCAGTAGAAATGCTGCTGGGACAAGACCAGAGGAGTGCCTCGAGGATGATCAAGGGGCTGGAACAGCTCCTGTATGAAGATAGGTTGAGAAAGTTGGGGCTGTTTACCCTGGAGAAGATAAGGCTGCGTGGTGACCTCATAGCAGCCTTCCAGTATCTGGAGGGGGCCTATAGGGACACTGGGGATGGACTATTCATTAGGGACTGTAGTGACAGGACAAGGGGTAATGGGTTTAAACTTAAACAGGGAAAGTTTAGATTGGATATAAAGAGGAAGTTCTTTACTGTG